CCCTCCCCTAGTTTATTTCTTGGTGTGTACCACAGCACCACAGTGTGTACGCTGCAATGCACAGCTCAATTAGCTCGTGTGTGGCTGGAAAACAGAGGAATAACAGCATGGAACATGGAGGTTGTGCTGGCTCGCATGGGTGCGTTTCTTTCCAAAGCAAGTCGGGCTGAAATAGCAGAATAGAATGACAGCCTCAGTGGGAAAGACTCAGCATGGCTTTCAGCTCTATTTTTATTTCATTTTTAAAATTTTTTGAATGAACACCTATACTTGGGGCTTCCTCTCCGTGGAAGCACATCCCAGGTCGCGCTTCCCCTATGCCCAGCTTCACAACAACCCCACTGGGTCGCAGCACCCACGAGCCAGCATGCTTATTTTATTATATTCGTGCATTTTTAATATTCCCAGAAGGAGCCTCTGGCCCTACTGAGCTGCCCGCCTTGGCTAGCACAGTTATCTCTCCAGGTGCCAATTACTGTTTCTGTTAGTACAAAGTCACCACATAGGTTTTGAGCAGTCTGCTCTTAACCCTGTTTTTCCCCTACAAGCCCTTTTCTCTTTATTGTGCAACATTGAAGAATGTGAGATTTTTTCAGGAACACATATAACACATTTGAACAAATGCCCAATTCCTTTCAAGTCCTGCCCGAGACAGCGGCAGCAAAGACATGTGAAGGAAGTGAAGACGGTGAAGGTGGGGGCAGAATTCCAGGCTGCAGAGCTGGCCCCTCACCTGGGAGGCTGTGAGTTCTGCACCCTCTGCAAGTATCTCCAGCCCAGAGTACTGAACTGTGTGACCCTGACTCCCCACACCCCTGACCAGGGCAGCAGAAATAGCATGGACAGAGTATGTAGCGGCATAGATCAGCTGAGTAGATTTCTTTTTCTGTTTCTTTTCTTTTCTTTCTTTCTTTTTTTTTTTTTTTTTTTTGAGACAGTCCCACTCTGTTACCCTGAGTAGCATGCCATGGTGTCATAGCTCACAGCAACCTCAAACTCTTGGGGTCAGGCAATCCTCTTGCCTCAGCCTCCCCAGTAACTGGGATTACAGGCACCTGCAAAGACACCCAGCTAGTTTTTCTATTTTCAGTAGAGATGGGATCTTACTCAGGCTGGTTTCAAACTCCTGAGCTCAAGCAATCCACCTCCCCTCCTCACAGGCGTGAGCCACTGCACCAGGCAGCTGAACGTATTCCTGAATAAAGTCTTTCTCTTCACTTTCTTTAAAATTTTTTCTTGAAAATACACTTAGATTTTCCCAAGTGTGAATACTTTCTACCTCCCTAGAATTCTCTTTATTGAAGCCCTGACCACATTCGGCATTGTATTGTTACCTAGAGGGGTGTGTGTGTGTGTGTGTGTGTGTGACCTCAATTTAACTATAAGCTGCTTGAGGGCAGGGACTTTATTCTCTTCCTCTCCATATTCCCGGCATATTGCCTAACACCGTGTTTGAACATAGTAAGTACTTAATCACTATTTCCTAAATGAACAAGTCTTCTCAAAATATGGCTTTTTATTTGGGCCCTTTTGTAGGAGGTGGGGGACAGACACACACTGTGAATTTCACTACAGTGGTTAGAGGACATAGTTTTGCATCAAAAATTTCCTGAAGCAGAGTTATTAGAAATTATTCTGGGAGTAAATACCAGAAACCAAAGTAAGAAGAACACCATATGAGAAATATTTTATTCATCTTTTCAAAAAATTAATAAGCAAAAACAATTAATAAGCAACAGACAGGAACTATTTAATTTGGCTGCCCTTATAGTTCCTGCTTCTCTGTCCAAGGCTCTGAAAGGTTGAGCTGTTTCCCAAGGGAACAAACCTCAAGGTGACTCCCGCTTGGATAGGGAACTTGGTGACAGATGGCAAGTTCTGCTTCCTCAGCAAGGACAACATGTGGGCCTGGTGGGGAAGGAGGGACTCAGCTGCTTTGACTGAAACCCATAACCTCTGTTGTCCCCCTCCCCGTGGTGAGTGTCCAGCTATCTGTTTGGTGTCTTTGCTGTCCAGCACGCCTGCTCCGTAAAAGTTACAGCTTTTAGTAATGAACTCACAGCAAATAGCTTACAGGTCGAATTTATTTGTAGTAAAAAGTGGTACATGAATAGCCCTGTATGAATTGTGCCACATTAACTAATTTGGTCTTTTTGTATTAGTCTGGTAGGGCTATGTGACAAAGTGCCACAAACGTGTGGGTGGCTTAAACAATGGAAACACGTTTCACACAGTTCTGGAGGCTGGACGTTGGAGATCAGCTGTCTGCAGGGGCGGTTCCTTCTGAGAGTTGTAAAAAAGAATCTGTTCTACCCTTCTCTTCTAACTTTTGGTGCTTACTTTGGCATTCCTTAGCTTGTAGGTTTCTGCTTTCATCTCCACTGGGTGTCCTCCGCATGGATGTGTCCAAATTTCCCCTTTTTATAAGGACACCAATCATGTTGAATTAGGGGCCACTCCCCACCCTACTCCACTGTGACTTCTTCTCAACAAATTACGTCTGCAATGACCCCATTTCCACTAGTAAAGTCACATTTTGAGGTACTGGGGCTTAGGACTTCAAGATTTGACTTTCGCTGGTGGGGAGGACACATGCCGTCCATAGTATCTTTGAGCAGCAAAGCAGGACTTACTCTCATTCCTTTTTTGCAGATAAAGGAACTGAGTCTCAGAGAGATAAGTAACTCCCTCAAAGTCAGTGAAAACCCTGGGTCACAATTACAAGTCAGCTGTCTGGCTCAGCAGTCGGAGAGCCAGATGGTAACTCTCGCCATGAATTTGCCACTTAGCTGTTCTTGGACCAGGAAGAACTGAGGCTGCACAGACAGGGGATGTGGTCAGAGGGGGTCTTCTCTTGGAATCAATTTAGCAGATGTCCTATTCTGAAAAGCTCCACTTGCTGTCCTCAGGGCTACACCGCATGAAGGCTCAACCTCCAGAACTCCAGGACTGTTTACTTAAGTTGTTTCTTGTAAGTCTGCTGTTTCTGTCTGGCGGGCCCAGCCCAGCCTAGGGGAGCTGGGTACAATGAGCCTATTCAGGGCAGAAAGGGAAATGCCACGTGCTTCCTTTTCTCTCTGTAGTGTCCTTTGCCTCCTTGTGTCTTTCCTTTGTCCTGCCTGTTGAGCAACATCAGTGTGGGTGTGGGGACTGTGGGGACTGGCAGCAGTGTGAGAGGGTGGCTGAGGACAGTGGAGGACGTAGGCCCCTGGGCAGGCAGCAGTGGGCAGGCACATGGTGTAGGGGGGGCAGGCTTCCCAAGGGCCCCTTTGACCTGTGCCTCTGCTCTGCCTGAGGCGCTCTCATCAGCTGAAGCTGGTGTCCCCTCATGGAGCACGGGCTCCCTAGGCAGAGAGGAGGAGCACGCCCTTCTCTGAGCCCCGACCCTTGACAAGTGTATGGGAGTCAGTTAAGTGACGATTCGAGAGGCAGATTCTCATCTCAGCTCTGCCACTTGCCAACTGTGTGACTTTAGGGAAGATGCTTCATCTTCTCGTGTCGCTTCCTTTCCTATACAATGGAGATGATAAATTAGTCCTTTTCCTAAGGATACTGAATGGATAAATGATACACATCACAAATGCTGCTGGGAACGACCACATAATTCTAGCACTTAGTAGGAATAAGCAATGTTGCCTTATTTATTTCCCATGTGTCGTTTGTTAATCTGTTAGTTAAAGACTAATAAGATTCACATCAAAAAGTGAACAGTGCTTGTGTTTGGATGATGGGATTACAGGTGATTTTATTGTCCTACTTTTGCTTTATTACGTTTTCTAAACTTTCTACCGTAAATATGTATTATTTTTAAGAAGAGAAAAACTCCCACTGTTGACTTATAGGATGCAGTGAACTAGATGTGAGTAGTTACAAGGTGAAGAAGACAGGACCATTGTCCTTAGCAGAGTTTAAAATCTGTGGAAAGAAGGGGCCAGGCGTGGTGGCTCACGCCTGTAATCCAAGCACTCTGGGAGGACAAGGAGCATGGATTACCTGAGCTCAGGGGTTTGAGACCAGCCTGAGCAAGAGCAAGACTCTGTCTCTACAAATAGCTGGGCACTGTGGTGGGCACCTGTAGTCCCAGCTACTCAGGAAGCTGAGGCAAGAGATTGCTTGAGCCCATGAGACTGAGGTTGCTGTGAGCTATGACACCATGGCACTCTACCCAGGGTGACAAAGTGAGACTCTGTCTCAAAAAAAAAAAAAAAAAAAAAAAAAAAAAAACTATAGAAAGAGATAAGAAAGGTAGACAAATGATACAAACAACAGGAAAGTGGGGGACAGTGGTGCGCAGGGAGGCTGAGTAATGGGACCAGTCCCCCTCAGGTGGCACCTGCCATTACAGAGATTTTTTTCATCAGTCTTGTCTTCTCTGACCTGGAAATAGGAAAGTGAGATGGCATGGGCGGATAAAAGGGCCACTCTTTAAATCTATCCTGGAGCCCCAATGGGGTGGGGGTGGTGAATCTATCCTGGAGACCCAGGGGGATGAGGGTGGTGACTCTATCCTGGAGACCCAGGGGGATGGGGGTGGTGACTCTATCCTGGAGACCCAGGGGGATGGGGGTGGTGAATCTATCCTGGAGACTCAGGGGGAT